CTCAGTGCTCTACTTTCCCAGGAGATACATTAAAAATACACCCGGCCTGGGGTTCAGCCGGCGGCTCCCCACTACGACCAGGGGTCCACTTCTTTGCCAGGCCAGTGCCATGCCCTCCCTCCGCGAGGCATTCAAAGGGGACCCTCTTGCTTCCCCGGGCGGCCCCCTCCCTCGGGCCTGGGGAAGCCGGAGGCCGCCTGGTGTCGCGGGCTATTTCTGGGTGTGGAGGGGGAGGGGAACGGTAAGAGCGACAGAGAACTGGGGCGCTGGGGTCGGGAAGCCCAGGAGCGAGTCTCTCCAGCCGCCATCTCCTCTATTAAAAGGGCACCCCCCCTCCTTGAAACCCCGCCTCCCTTAGCCATTAAACTGCCGGGGCCCCGACTGAGAACTGGCCAACTCATCCTCCACGGGGCCCTCCACCCTCCGGGCTCTGGAAGGGAACAAGGTCCTGAGGCGGCGCGGGTGAGGGTAGTCAACGAGCTGAAAGGTCCTGAGGAAGACTGCACCGACTTGAGAAAGGGCTTAAGGGCGGGGGGTGAGGGGGTGCTGCGGCCCGAAGCCCAAAGGAAAGCAAAGGTCCTGGGAGAAGGGAGCTCCTCGCGCCGAGCACCGCAAGGGGCACGCAGCCCAGCGCCGGGGATGCCCAGCTGGGGAAGGGGATGGGGGCTGGGGGGTCCCGTCCTGCCCAGGGTCTTCCCGGGGGCGCTCACTCGGCGTAGCCCGTGCTCCAGGGCAGGCGACGGCCGGTGTCCGGGGGGCTTTGCACAGCCCGGCCAGCGTGGTCGTCGGCGCGTCGCAGCCCCCCTGGGCTCAGCTGCAGGAAGGTCGGTCGGGAGAAGCTCGCTCGAGCCTCTACTGTCTTCGCGGGCGCTGAGCTCCCAGCCCTCGCCGGAGGGCTCCTGGGCGCTTCTGGAGGAGCGGCGGTCTGCGCCGAGGGCGCGTTGGGCAGATCTGGGGACTTGGGGCGCGGAGGCGGGGCGCCCCCGGAGCTCACCAGGTGCGCCACGGCCGAGCGCACCCGGTTTAGCATGCTGCCTCCCTGCCCCGCCCTCGGCCGTGGCCCCGCCCCGAGGCGGGCCCCCCCCCTAGGGCGCGCGGTGGGCGGTGCTCGCTCCTGCGGGCTCTTCCCGACCATTGGCTCTGGGCGGGCAGGGCGGGTCGCGGCAAAACTTCCTCCTGCTCTGGGTCGCCCCCGGCACCGCCCCACCAGCTCGCTGCTCCTTCCCGCCGCGTTCAGGCTTCGCTCCGCCTCAGTTTCTTTGGGGAAGAAGGGTCTGCTGTTGTGGGAAAGGGACCGAGGGAAGCACATCCTATTTCAGCCGTGCTCTAGATGAGACATCAAGTAGACCTTACCCATTGTGACAGGGGGCGGGGGTGGTGTCTCCTCGCCCTCGGTTCAGCCAGCCTGCCCGGAGGGTGATGGAGCTGGTGACTTCAGAGCGAAACCAGTAGCTTCCGCCACCGCTCGGTGTGAGGCACCTGGTGTGACAACACCTCTGGCTGGGGCTGCTGGAGTGAGAGCGAGGGCGAGGAGCTGGTGCTGGGTGTACTGTGGGGGTGCTAAGGACGCGGACTGGAGCCGACCGTCCTGAATTAGGGAGCCGGAGGTAAGTTCTTGGGCTCCTGACGGCGCTGTTGCCCATCGATGACCACCTCTAGATCTGGGAGAGCGGTTGCCACTCTGACTCCACTTTCCTTCTCAGGACCCAATTTCCCCCCACATTTAGGCCTCCCCTGACCACAGCAGGGCTAGTTAATAAGGATAACAGCAATAACTTCGGACTTACTATATAGTAGGCCTGCTACAAAGCACTTTCCATATATTAGACCATTTATACCAAACAGCAGCCCTTCGAGGTGGGTTTTATGTTCTTTTTACCGATGACGCGCCTGTCATTTTACAGGACTTGCCGCAAGAGGTCACACAGCCAACTAGAGACTCACACCCGTGCCAGTCCCCAAACGCCCAAACTCCGTTCTGTCCGATAAGCCAAGCTGATTTGTCGGGATCGTGGAGGGGGTGCTAAGGAGGAGGTGAATGGCAGAGAGAAGAGTGGGGGTTCCTCCTCTTTCACCTTCCTCCTCTGAAGGCAGAGGCTGAGCCTGCAGGATGAACAAGATCCTTAGGCACCGCCAGGGGGAGACAGAGGCCAGACTAAGCGCTTGCTTGTAAGGGAACAGTGGTGCTGAGTCCAAAGAGACCTGTTCCTAAGGCAGCTATCAGGGAATTGATCAGTACATCTCCAGAGACACCTCCTACCCCATGCACTGTCCAAATGGGGACAAGGCCCTGTGGCCCTAATGCAAGTCAGGGTAGCCCTCAGGAATCGCTGGCACCGAGTTCATGGTTGGGACTCCATCTCTGGGCTCTGTGGGCAGAATGCTCCCTGAACATAAACCTCTCTGTTTCTGAGCTTAAATGTGCCCCCAGAAGGAGTGGCTTTCCTCGCCGCTTCCAAATAAAAATCTCATAATGGTCATTCAGGTCTTTTATATATATATATATATATATTTATTTATTTGAGATAGAAAGAGTGAGCATGAGCTGGGCGGGGGGAGGTGCAGAGGGAGAGGGAGAAGCAGACTCCCCACTGAGCAGAGAGCCCAATGCGGGGCTTGATCCCAGGACCCTGAGATCATGACCTGAGCCAAAGGCAGATGCTTAACCGAATGAGCCACTCAGGTGACCCTTCGTTCAGGTCTTTAGACTTGCTGTAATTATACCTACACTCTGGGCAGAGACAGCCAGAAAAATAGAAGTCATAAGAAAAGAAAAACAAATCAGATCCAAAGGCCCGTACAGTGGCAAAGGCAAACGGAGGTAAAGACCATGCGACTGCTATGGGCATTTCCCTCTTGTTTAAGAAAAACTGGAACCAGCTCTCATATAAATGGCATAAACAACAACAGCAAGCCAAGACTGATGAAAAATTATAACATCCTGGCTATTTTTATTATTCAGTGTTTCTGGGGCCGTTGGCTTACCACTTCTCTGTGTCACCCTGTTCCCTAATACCTGCTCTTCACAGCACCCACCATGATGTGGCTACAAATAGGCCACAGAGCCAGGACAGAAAGATCCCTAGCTCCAGCACCAGATGGTCAGTGGGGATGTCAACAGCAAACAAAAAACAATTTTTAGATTTTATTTGATTTGTATTTAAACTTAAATAACCACATACAACTAGTGGCTATCCTACTGGATAGTGCAGTTCTAGAATCTTCAAGACTCCAAACCCTTGGGGGTCTTGGCAATCCCTCCCCACACGCAGCCCCCTCCCACCCCGGAAGCCACAAGGCGGAGAGTTTTGAGGGACCTCTTTGGGTTAGCCCAGCCTGCACCAGGGAGACGTTCACCCGGACTGCGGACAGCGCGGCGGGACCGGCCGGCGTCTCCTCGCTCTTCTAGCCTCGGCCGCCAGGGGCCGCTGCGCGCGTCTGTGCGTCTACTACGCGGCGCCCGGAGCTGTCCGGGAGGAGGCGGCGGGGGCTGGCGGAGCGGGGACGGCCTCCGGCGACAGGGAGGCGGCGGCGGCTGCGCGCTCCCTGGCCTACCCGCGGGAGCCTCGGAAACACCCCGGCTGAGCCTTGCAGAGCTGGCCGGGCGGGCCAGGAGTGCCCCGTGCCCAGAGCGGAGCCGGGCAAGACCGTGATGCCAGTTTGGCCGAAGTCCCGCCGCGTCGGGGACCCGGCGGCAACTTGGTGAGGGACGCGGGGCTCCTGACTTGACAGCACCCGAGCCGGCTGCTCCCGCCTGAAGTCCGCCTTTCGGAGTCTTGGTGCGGGACTCAGAGGCAAGTGGGCACCGCCGTGGGGCAGGTAGATCCTGTGGATGGGGGCTCAGAAATTTGGAGCAGTGAGTGGGCGCTGGCGGGGGCCAGGAGAAGGCAGGGAAACTTAAGGCGTCTCGGGGTCCATATCCTCAACCACCTCCACGCTGGTGTGCTGGCTGCTAACTCAGCCTCCCCATACCTGGCGCCTGGGTTTGGGGAAAACAGGCTGGGAAACTGAGGCAGGAGTGTGGAAGCCCAGATCAAACCCCAGAAGTTTCCTTTTCCCCTTCTCCCTGAGGGAGGGAATAGAATGCCAGAGGACTCAGCCCAAAAGCACCCCCCCATTTTGGGGGGTCTTGGGGTTCATGGGAGAGCTGGGTTGGCGGGTATGGCAGCTCAGAGGGAAAAAGGATGAAGGCTGCCTGAGAGAAGACAAAGCTGTATTTGAAAGGATCAAAATGAAGGTTCCTGAAGGGGACAGGGAGAGGAGATACCTACTCAGAAAAGAGATACATCTGGAAGGCTGGGAAGCTCTTGCCCGTGGAACGCTCCCATCTCTGGGATATTGGCACCACTTCCTCCATCCGTCCCCCTAGTCGTCTCTGGGCCCCACCATCCTACCTGCTTCATGCTTCAGCTCCACCTCCCTTTGGAGGCTGAGGGAAGAGAGGTCGTCGGGAGAAATGGAGAAGCTGTTGGGCTAGAGACCGGGAGGCACCCCCTTCTAGCCCTCCGGAATGGAAATGGGGGTGAGGGTGGCAGAATGGAGCCAGCTCTGCTCCAGTCCAGGACGCAGGTGCAGTGGGGATAGGACGTGGAGGCAAAAGGATTCAAGACCTCAGGGTCTTGTCCAGGGGCCTCTTGGAGCAGCATTTTGTCAGATCCTGCTCAGGAATCCTTCGCTGGCCTTCAGCTCCCTCCCAAGGCCAGAACCCTGATAGCGCTGATTACTAGACACCTCCCCACTATCGGCCCTGCTTCACTCCTGGGACAGAGGAATCCTCAGGCTACTCTTCCCGGGCTAGCTGCCCTGTGCGTTCGCAGAGTCTGCAAGGCAGAGGAGAGCCTCTTGCCTCCCACCCTGCACCTTGAGGAACAGCTTCAGAATTGGGCTCTACTCCATTGTACCTTTTGTCCGCACCCAGGCCCTCCCTCACCTCCTGCAGGGCCGTGGGCTCCCTCTGTCCCTGGCAACCCCCCAAGAATCTTTCCTACTTGTCTAGGTGGGGTGAGTCTGAGGCCTGTGGATGAACAGACAGAAGCTGAAAGATCCCCAAAAAGGTGAGTGAGGAGAAAGCTGAAGGGGAGACAGTTGAGGGAGGGTGGTGGTGACAGAGATCAAGCACCTTATCCAAGGTCCCGGCATTTGGTTTGGTCTCTGCTGTTGCCAGGACTGCTGACGCCTGAGGGACTCCAGCGATGTCCCAAGGGGCCAGTCGTGCAGCAGAGGGGGGGTGGTCCAGACTCCTGGTATGCCTGGGCAGCCCCCTGCTGCTTTCTGCCTCTGCTTCCTTGGGACCCGCTCTGTTTCTAGCTCGTCCTCTGGGATAGATGGGAGGCCTGACCCATCAGGGATAGAGGAAGAGAACCGAGGAAAAGCCATAGTAGTGGGGTAGGAATAGGACCGGCTTCTGGGCTCTGGGCTCTGCCCCCCACGTGCTCCCTGGCCTGGGGCAGTCGTTTGACTTCTATTAGCCCTGGTGTCGTTTCTTCTTTTCTAAATTTAAAGTTGTTGAAATTGAATTGCTATTACATTCCTCCAGTTCAGTTCAACCCTCCTCCCCCCAATAAAAAAGCAACAGGGAGAAAGATTAAGTCTCCCTTCTACCCCCATCTCTGAGTGAACCGTTTCCCCTTCTTGGTGGCAATCAATGTTACTAGGTTTTCTTTGGTACATTTTCCAGAGCTAGCTTATGCATATTAAAGCAACATATATAATCCCTCCCTTTTACGCATTTTCTACACACCATCCTGCACTTTGTGTTTGTTTGGGTTTTTTTTTCCGCTTAATGGTGGCTTATCGTTAGAGATCTTTGCACGCCTCAGTACATAAAGCATTTCCTCCTTCTATTTTACAGAGGCCTGGATGTAACTGCATTCGTACAGATGCTCCACAGATGTATTTAGCCAGTCCTTTATTGGTGGTTGTTTAAGTTGTCGCCAGGCGTTTTGAGGATCAGTTTGCTCATCCGTGGGTACAAATAATCCCACTTTGTAGGACAGTTGTGAGGGCCGCAAGAGCATGTATGTGATGTGCCTGGGTCAAGTGCTCAACAAATGGGGGTCAGCAGTATTGTTCCTCCCATGGCACAGCCCTCCAAGGGACCATGTCGGGTTCATCCTTCAAGACCCTCTTAAATGGCATCTCCCCTACAAAGCTGTCTGTGCCTTTCCCGACCGGGCAGTCTCCCAGCTCCCTTTCCTACCACGGTACTCATCACTTTGTATGGTGAGCTTGTGCCAGGTGGAGAGCCGCTAGGGATGAGGTGTGCATCCTGCCCACCTCTGGGCCTCCCAGAGCGCACGGGGCTAGGGCTGGGTGCTGGGGAGCTCCTGCTCAGCCTTGAGCCGGCTGTGTGCTTCTCTCGGCAGGATGCGTGAGAGGACATATCAGAACTGGAGTACGGGCCACTGGCTGCTGGCACTCTCCCTGGCCTGCCTGTGGACCCACCTTGCCTCGGCTTCCTTGCAGCCGCCAACTCCCACAGGTTTGGGCAAGAAGGCAGAGCCTGGGGGAAGGTTTCCCGGGATGCCGGCAGAGCTGGGCACCACCCCACCCCATTCCACAGCAGGCAGATCTCCAAGGCCGAGTAAAATGCAGATTCTAGGGGTTCTGGCTCCTTCTCTGTTTTTCACCCAGGAAAATCTGCCCCCCTCTGTAATCCCAGCCCAGAAAAGGTGTGGGCAGACCTGTGGCTCACCTCTCCTTCTAGGCCAGAAGGTGTTCTGCAGGGAGAGAGCCCTGGGGTGGAGGCTTAACTCTAGCCTCCTGGGCTAATTCTGTGGTTTTCCTTCTGGAATGGCTAAAGCCTGTGTAAGCGGATGATCCTCCCCACGCAATGTAAGCCCCCAGGGCCCTTGCCCTCACCTGCAAGAGGCCAGAGGAAGTGGGGCCTGGTGGGGAATTCCACGTTTTTTCTGCCCAAGGGCCAGGCTCTGCCAGAGAGGGATGAGTGTGGTCTCACTGGGGCAGAAGGAAGGATCGGGCTGCTGAAGGAGCAGGAGGATTTCGTTTCCTCCTCCTCCCCTGCCGTTGGCCATCCTTTGAACACCCCTCCCCTTGGCTGGGAGGAGGGCCCAAGAACAAGCAGGGCAGGTGGGAAGAGAGCAGGGCTGCCGGATGGCGTGGGCTGGGCCCCTGACCTTGTCTGGTTGCTCCAGTCCTGGTGAAACAGGGCACCTGCGAGGTGATTGCTGCTCATCGCTGCTGCAACCGGAACCGCATCGAGGAGCGCTCCCAGACTGTCCAGTGCTCTTGCCTTTCTGGCCAGGTGGCCGGCACCACACGGGCAAAGCCCTCCTGCGTGGACGGTCAGTGAGAGACGGGCCCGGCAGGGAAGGCCCAGTCACAGAGATAAGAAGGTCTGTGCAGGCCGCACCATCTGCTCGGGATGCAATTTCATACCAGCCCAGGGCTTTCGGGATCAGTCTCAAATGATGGGTAACCTCTGGGGGGAGGAGGGCAGATGGGGACCATCCCCGCTTCCTAGGTAAGGAGAGGCCCTGATCTGCGCCTGCCCTCCCTCTTACCCGCACTCCCTGCCTAGCGCTAGACATTCTGTCCCTCGAATCTTCTCTCCCAAACGTGGCGTCAGGCCTTGACCTCTTCATCTCCTGCTCCTCCACCAGCCTCTTACACGCACCCGCCTCTCATTCTTCGGTGACCTTGACGTGGACACACACGTGTCACTCACACCCACCCCTCTCCCACGATCCCACCCATGCTCGTGAGCTCACACTCACGTGGCAGGACTCTAAACGTGCCGGCTTGTGCTCACACGCGTGCCTGCTCTGCACTCCTGGTCTGGGGTGCGCACTTGCTCACATACCCCAGGTGGGAATGCTGAAGACCGTACCTCTCTGCTGACCGGAGGGCTCCTTTGAGAACTTGCCCTGCCTTCTCCCCGTGCTGTCTATGGTGACACGTAGGGATCAGTGGGATCGAATGTGATAAGGTGTGTGCCCCAGCCTCAGCCCGAGTACTGCCTTTCTGGGCAGCCAGGAGTCAGGGAAGACAGGGGAACGCAGGACCCAAAGCCAGCAGTGTGCAAACTCACCCTTCATTCTGCATGGACTTCCTGCCCTTGACTGCACTCTGTCCTCGAGGACAGCTTAGAGCTGCCCTCACTGCCCCCTGCTCCCACAGCCTCCATTGTCCTGCAGAAGTGGTGGTGTCAGATGGAGCCCTGCCTGCCGGGGGAGGAGTGCAAAGTGCTCCCGGATCTGTCAGGATGGAGCTGCAGCAGCGGACACAAAGTCAAAACCACCAAGGTATCCGGGGATGGCCACTCCATCCCACCCTGCTCTTCCCCCTTCACGTGGGGTGGGACAGAGGGGGGCACAGGAGCCGGGGGTCTAGGAGATCCATGTCCCAAGGTGAGATCTATGAACTACGTGGGCACATGCCTGGCTGGACAGTCCCTCTGGACTGTCTCCACTGTGGGGACCGGAGTTAGGGCCTCAGGATTTGAAATCTGATGTGTCCTGGGCTAATCCCTGATGCTCCATATGCCTTGGTTTCCTCTTCTCCCTAGGGTGAGTTTGTCTCCCAGGTCCAGAAGAACAAGGTAGAGAATTAGGAAATGGTCCAGATAATTTGGAGGGGCATCTGTG